TAACACATCTAATTCTTTAACATGGTCTTCAAAATTTGAAAACAAAGTATGCATATTTAGATTTCTAAATGTATCGTTAATTATTTGTTGGTAACAATTTTTTGAGTATACGGCTAAAACCAGTGGTTGAAACCGTCGTAAGAAACTACAATGGCATGGCCGCTCTCAGGTTTTTCTCTGGTATTATTTTACGTGCTGTGGTTGCCAGTTGCTGTTGACAAAAGTTAAAAGTTGACCAACTCTCTTTTAGCAACGACAAAGCGCAACCAGAAATAATACTTTTCTTTTCGTAATTGCTACTTTTCGCAACTGGCAACAGGACATTTTCAACTCATTGTAGAATGACCCTTAGGTTAGGTTAGGTAGACATTGTTCGAAAACTAATAGTCCTCTGAGTACCCAATTACCCCCACCATTGCATACTTAAGTCACCTCACTCACATCTGACAAGGGACGTTTTCGAACGCAGTCCATGAGTATAAGCTCTATGATTATACTGTACAATACCAAGTATAATACAATGGGTGCGTTCAGACAACTCAACGGTTGAGAGATCATCACTTATGATAGGACTATTCTTGAAAATCTGCTGCGGTTCCAAAAGTATGATCCAATCAGAAGTGATTATCTCTCAACCGTTGTGCAACTGTTCACTCAACTGTTGAGTTGTCTGAACGCACTCATGTAAAATACCTCACGTATAAAGAGCCGTCTACAATGGAGAGTTGTAGGCCGTAATAGTAAGAAATTGACCAATCACAATCGATTATTCTTCTGTACTTTGTTTGTGATTGGTCAATTTCTTACTATTACGGCCTACAACTCTCCATTGTAGACGGCTCTTAAGGCTTGTTCTACAATACAGTCGTAAGCTGTAAGTCGCAAGAAATAGAGCAATCACAGATAGATTACAGAAGAATAATCGATTGTGATTGGTCAATTTCTTAAGAGCCGTCTACAATGGAGAGTTGTAGGCCGTAACAGTAAGAATTTGACCAATCACAGACAAAGTACAGAAGAATAATCGATTGTGATTTGTCAATTTCTTACTGTTACGGCCTACAACTCTCCATTGTAGACGGCTCTTTATAGTTCAGTGCTTACAACCTTCTTTGTAGACTAGCCATAAGATTTTGGAATGTACCCCTGCTGGCGTCCTCTTTTCCTGCCTAACCTAATCTCACTAGACTTCTTTGGCTAGGCTAGCCAGGCTAGCTGTTCTGTTGCTTCGACATTGCGTGACAACGAAGCAGCAAATGATTGCATTCGGGAAAGACGCGGCAAATTATGTATAATTAGTATGCGAATGTAGCGTAAGATTTGCTTAAAGTTTAACAACTTATATCTGAACTGTAAGAATATATTGTGAAGGTGACTGATTTAAACTCAAGACATTAATTAATCGCGCAATCATGGAAGTGGTGATCGAAGAAAGCGAGCCTAACGTTCTTCGTGAGATAATGAACGACGAAGAACTGGCTCAAATTCCAAAAGAAATTGCGAAGAAGATTCATGCGCACTTCAATGCGAAATTTGATGAATTTATAACTGCAAAGGCTGTTTATGAAACTAACCGTAAAAACTTAGGTAAGTTGACTCAATTCTAGTTTTCTATGCTTTTGAATATTCTGAGGAATACACTTGCTTTATTTATTCCTCAAAGTTCCAAAGTTTTTGCTGTTTTTGGAATAGTTGTTTTGTTATGTGTGATACTACTATATAGTTATTTGAAAACTAACAGATTTTTTTTAAATATATCTAACAAAAAGAAATTTTATTAATGTATAAATGTCTAATATATAAAGGTTAAGATTTTTTATGTACTGTTCACAGAACAAAGTTTAGAAAAAGTTCAGAAAGACCTTGCAGTACATAAGACAGATCTTGAGGAGTGTAGAGGAAAGTTAGAGTTATCAGAAAAGAATAATACAGAAATATCCAGCAATCTTGAAGAATTAAGGAGTGATATACATAAATTACAAGAATCAGTCAAATGGTAATGTATTACATGTATATATATACACATATTATACATGTACATATTATATATATATATATATATATATATATATATATATATATATATACACACAGGGTGTCC